GCCGAGTGTATTTCTTTCACAGTTGCAGCCCAGCCACAACATTCTCTCAAAAACAAAAATAATGGTTGAATAGCAACATATACATAAAAGACTTTTTCCCCTTTGAATACAAAAAAAATTACTGTGCACCTTAGCAAAACAAAGCAGTGGTGCTGATTCAGGCTTTTGAACTTTGGCCCAATCTTGAAGGTGCTTTTAAATTGACCTAAGGGGTTTATGAAACAAGTGGATTCATTTAACTTTGTGTATTGGTGTATTCTCCAATTGGACTTCGCCCCAGAGATTTCTTTTTTTTTTTTTGAGGTTTTCGCTATAGGGCGCGTGCACTCGCCAGACAGACAGAGAGAGACAGAGAGACAGAAAGCGAGAAACCACCCCCCAGGGGGGATGGTCACGCCGCAATCCCTTCTCCTCCATTCTCCTCTCGGGATCTTGGGCACGCACGTACACGCGCCCGGCGTGAGTTCTAAGTCACCAGGTCTGGGACACGAACTACGGTCAACTACGTGGGAGTTCAGCGACATAGCCATTATGCTAACTGCTGGTTCCCCGTCCCAGAGATTTCTGATGGTTCCAGCAGCTTTGGAGTTAGTATCTCTGATGTGTTTGCAACTGACCCTTGACCTAAACGTCAATGTTATTTTCAGCTGTTCTTTGACAGGGAGTCCAACAGCTGCTGTTTAATACCACAGACAACTTGTGACACACGCTGAGTTTCTAGCAATAGGATTAATGTGCCAATCTTAGGCTCTGATTTGAAGCTGGCTATACTTTTCCTGCACAGGGAAATGAAACCCATACTTGAAGTATGGGTTCTTCTTTTTCTTTTCTCTTTAATTGTGACAAAATATACAGTGTTACATGTAAAAATTTTAAAAACATGTTTTTGCTGCTATTAAAAGGTAACAGCAAAGTATTTTACTTTCTAATAATGATAACTGAATTTGAAAAGGCTGTTCAGTGGAGTAAAATACTCACCAAAAAAATCCTGAAATAATAGCTATATAGGGATAAATTCTGCTTCACATATTTCTTAAAGGTCCGTAGGAAATCTGAATCTCTGAGAAAATGTGATCATCTCATGTAAACTTCATTTGGCAAAAAGTAGTAAGTTTTAGGAACGCAGATTCATCTAAAAATTTATTTCAAGAATTTTGTGAATTAACCCCAGAACAAATAGCATACTTTGTTAAAGTTCAGTTTTAGTGCTTTTTCTTTCTATGAGGGAGACTTGAAAAATACTGAAAAGATTGATATCCAGGTCAATGACTTGCTGGTTTCAAATTCCACAGTTCCAACTGTATAGTTTCAATTGCAAAACTAATTTGGGTTGTCAGGATGTAATTTTTTTTTTTTCCATTTGCTGTCAAACACGAGCTGATAGGCAAAGAACTGGAAGCTGTCTTCCACTTTTGAGATAATGGCAAAAATAACAGACGCTCAGTGTTACCATACTAGGGGTGTGGCGATCTCTCTCATTTGCTCCTCTCTCTCTCTGATGATAAACTCAATGGGGTTGTCTATTTTTAACCTCCTGTTCTTTCCTTTTGGCAGTGTGAGCCGAGCTCTTGCCCTGAATGAATCCAAGTAACCCCAGTGGTTGCCTTCTGAAGTGACCGGCAGACACGCATCTGTACAGAAGCTGCCCAAAGTATAAACTCTGGTTCTAAAGTGCCATGTCCAGCCAAGGAAGTCCTAGCGTGGAGTCTTCTACAACAACCATCAGTTCAGTTGCTGTGCAGGCTGGGGATTCCAAAATCGTTATAGCTGTCATAAAGGTAAGCTAAATACTTCCTTCTTTCTTGTAGTTGTGGCTTCTTGCTGTGTGTTAACTCTAAAAAACATTCTACGTAATCTACAGGATACAGCCTGTAGATGATAGCATACAAGTACTCTTATTTCTTTTTTAGCTTGGCAACGAAGAGAAACCTGTGCTAAATTTCAGCCAGTTACCAGAAATTCCCTTTCCTCTCAGTTAGCCAGAAAGAATCTGTGGCAGCTTGATTGAAAACAAAGCACAAAACAACAGAAAGCAATTTTATCATATACTTTTACTTTGGTCTCTCAGGCTATTGGTGATTAGAGGATCCTGATTTTTAGGCTGGAGAGTTCAGCCGACCTGTGAAATGCTTGTGATTTTTGAGAGTGGACGTGATGGACGAGGGAGGAGGCAGTTCCCTACAGAGAGGGGTGGCACTGTTTGTATCATGATGGAGCACAGAAAACACCTATTGAACTGCCCATTGACAAGACACTACTAAATCTTTGTCAAATTGTTGGGGAAAGTGAAGACCCAGTCAGGGAAGGGGCAAAGGACATGCGTCAGATTTGCTCTTAACAGCAGGAAGTAGAAGCCACTTGGGTTTAAGATTACTGCATGTTTTATGTCAAGCAATTTGCCCACTTGCAGAGATAACCACACATTTTTAGGTCAAAGAAGACATCACGATTTTATTCCCTACGAAAATGCTCCTCAGAAACCTCTGAAGCATTGTGCTTGGCTTTCAGACAATTTGCCACTAAAAGAATTCAGTATTTAATGAAGAGGAACCTGACAAACAAACTGGTGTTCACCAGCTAGTTACTTTCAGGACCCCACCAAGCTTAATTGACCGGCTTTCCTGGCCTTTTGTTAGAGTATGGTCAACAAGGCCTATTTAATTTAATTTAATTGCTATGAATTTTATGGTAATGTGAAAATTCGTAACAGAAAAACAGCACTTGACATTGAACAAAATGATTCACTCTAAAAGCACAGAATGCAAAATGTTCTCATGGAGGCTGATTTCCCAGTGCTGTTCAGACATGTCCCCACATAAACAGGACCTCTGCTGATCCCCTGGCCCTCTAATCTTTTCAAAGACAATGTGAGTGGAGATGAAAAGAAACCTCAAAAC